AAAAAAAAAAAAAAGAAAAAGAATTTAAAGAAACTTAGTGGGAAATGAAAGGGAAATAAATATTGTTATCAAATCCTTAACTTTAGGATATTTATTGGATAGAAACTGAGTTCTAAAGAGATTTTAGTGAACAACGTGTGTGTGTGTGTGTGTGTGTGTGTGTGTAACATTTAGCACGTAGTATGCAGCCAGTAAGCATTAGGTGTTTTTACTTATTTGTTATCATGATTCAGCATTCCTAAGAGGCAGGTTGGTCAGAAAAGCTTTGACATCTCTCTTATTGACAGGCTCACAAGTATGAAAAAATGGAAATTTTTATATTTTGCCTTGTTATTTCTAGAGGGTGCTACCAAAATAGAAAATAAAAATGTTTAAGAATTCACAGCCTTTTATGCTTAACTGTGTTAGTATTCAAGAAGTATTTCAAGTTACCAAGCTTTTGAACACGATGCCATTTAATGTAGTGCAGTCTTGTTAGGGTAGTTGAGCATTTTTTGACAATTTAGTATTTTGTATTCTTAACATGTTAAACATCATCAACCAATATTGTTAGTTATTCCTTGTTTCTTTTAAGGAATATATGTTCTGTTCATTGGGTACATGCATATACATATACATATACAGTAAATTTATATATGAACAAGCTTGTTAATTTTATTGCCCAGTTTTTCTGTATCCTTACTACATTTTGGTCTGCTTGATCTATTAGTTTTTAATTGTCATGTGTTAAATTTTTTTTTACCGTAATTGGATTTATCCATTTCTCCTTACAATCTTACCTGTTTTTGCTGTGTTGTAGGTTCATACAAGCTCATAATATATCTTCTTGATGATTTGCCTTTTTAATCATGTAGTTTCCCTTTTTATTCCTGCTAATGCTTTTGTCCAGGTTTTACCATGTGCAAGTTCAATGACCTTGGGAAAATCACTTCACCTCTTAGTTTCCCAAATGCAATATAGATACAATATCTCCCTTACAAAGTAAGGCAAGTCATTGAGAAAATGTATATGAAGTGTTTTACATATGATAGATTCTCAATAAATAGATTTAAAGGACTTGTTTCCTTTAAGGGTTCTCGTCCTGACTTTTAAGTGTATATAACATTTCTATGGGAGCTCTGGTGGCATGGTGCCTAAGACATTTCACTGCTAACCAGAAGGCTGGTAGTTCAAATTCACCAGCCACTCCTTGGAAGGAAGGTTGGGTAATCTACTTCCATAGCAATACTGCCTCAGAAACGCAAGGAGGGGTCGCTATGAGTCAGATCAGACTCGACAGCAGTGAGTTTTTGTTTGGTAACATTTCTATATATGTATAAAAGGATATATAACACTAAGTATACATAGAGGATATATAGAAATGTTAGTACACTTAAAAGTCAGAAGTATGTACTCGCCCTCAACCCTTTTTGGATTTAGGACTTATCTTTTATTACTGTTTCTTAATTTTTGTCATCCATTTATATACTCAAGGAGCTCTAGTAGTGTAGTGGTTAAAGTATTCAGCTGCTAACCAAAAGGTTGTTGGTTTGAGCTCATGAGCCACTCCATGGGAGAAAGGTGAGGCATTCTGCTTCCATAAAGATGTACAGCCTTGGAAACCCTGTGGCACTGTTCTACTCCATCCTAAGGGGTCACTATGGGTTGGAATCAACTTAGTGGCAGTGGGTTTGGTTTTGGTTATTTGCATACCCGAGGAGCTCTGGTGGCACAGTGGTTAAAGCATTCAGCTGCTAACCAAAAGGTCAGAGGAGGTTTGAACCCAGTAGCCACCTCTGTGGGAGAAATATGAGGCAAGTCTGCTTCCTGATAAACGTTTACATTCTTGGAAACCCTATGGGACAGTTCTGCTCTATCTTACAGGGTTGCTAATGAGTCAGAATTGACTCTATGGCAGCTTTTTTTTTTTTTTTTTAGAATATACCCAATATATATTGTGTGCCTTAATGTCTGTGATTTAAAAATACATGCAGAGAAGGGGAGAAGACAATTTCAGTTAATAAAACAGCAAAAAGGTTTAAAAATATATAGCATATGTATGTTGTACCTGGATAGTCATAGGTGGAGAGAGAGAGAGTCCTTTAGAAAAATAAAGTTGTGATCAGTCTCTGGAGAACCTTACATGACTCACTGAAGAGTTTAGACATGATTCTACAGGCTGCTGAAAACCACGGAAGGTTTTTGAGGATAGAAATGAGATGATATGACCTGATATTAGAAAGTATTTTGGTGGCATTGTTAAGAAAGAAACAGAAAAATACAGTATTATGAATAAAACTTGAACTCATTTAAAATGTTACTTGGTAACATTGAGCTAATAGGTTTAAATACAATCTTTCCTGTAGGTCTTTTGACATGTTACTTTATCATTGAGGGCCTCCAGACCTTTTTCCTCCATCTTACATTTTATTTCCTCCATAGCACCTAGTCGGGGCCGACTCGACGGCACATAACAACAACAACAATAGCACCTAGTACCACCAGTCATATCATATACAAATACTTGTTTATTGTCAGTGTTCCTTCACAAGATTGTAAGCTCCATGAGAGCAAGGACTTTATTTATTCAATGCTTTCCCCTAGTACTTAGAAAAGTCCTTGGTTTATAAATGAGTGAATAATCGAATTAAGATGGCCACAGTTTTTTTTTTTTTTTTAATGTGGTTTATTACATGTGGGGAGCAGCAAGAAAAAAATTCCTCCCAAAAAGGCCTATTACAAAGTGTTTTCTTTTTTCCTTTCCTCCAGAGTTTATATTCAGAGCGCCAATCAAATTAAGCAAACCTGGGGAACTTCGTGAAGAATATGAAAGCCTAAGAAAGGTATATAATACAAATTATTGTGACATTCATTTTCTTTTTCTTTTGACATTCATTTTCTTAAATTGAAATAATGATATTAAAGAATGGTTAGTGGGAGCATAGTTGTACCCTGCAGCACAGGAGGAACTGACTTCACTCCACAGCAGGTGTCATTTGTTTTTCTTATTTACAACCAGAGCCTGTCATTATCCTGTACTACGTTATACTCTAGGAGCTCTGATAGCATAGTGCCTAAGGCACTTGACTGCTAACCAGAAACCTGGTGGTTCAAACCCACCAGCCACTCCTCGGAAGGAAGGTTGGGCAATCTACTTCTGTAGTGATACCGCCTTGGAAACTCCAGAAGGGGTCACTATGAGTTGGGTCTGACTCGATGTCACATAACAACAACACCACCACCTTCTACTCTACCCAGATAGACTGAGTAACATAATGGAAGTAGTTGTTGTTGTTGTTATGTGCCGTTGATTCGGATCCGACTCATAGCAACTCCTCCTTGGGTTTCTGAGGCAGTATCACTATGGAAGTAGATTGCCCAACCTTCCTTCCAAGGAATGGAAGTAGAGTAAACCTCAATTAAGAACTCCTTTTTAGTTGCCCTTTCAGAGGTGAAAATATAGCTCACAGGGCCTATCACACACCTGTTACAATAACTGGCCGCCAAGAGAGGTATTCCTGGCACCTTTACCAAGTGCCCTTAATAATAATAGCTTATATTACTTGCGGAGGGCTCCTAATTACATGTAGCTGGTGTTATCTTTTATTGCTTTCTCTTGGTAAATACTCCAGAAGAAATGTAATTCAAGCCAATAAGGGATTAGTTTCTAGTTGGAGTACATTTGCCAAAGCTTCAGACTGTGTCTATATCATTGTATTTTTGATGTTTTCAAGCTAAATGTCTAGGAATCCCTTAGGGAATTAAGGCTTCAAAAAGGCTCGTAATTAGAAATACGTTACTAGATTTGTATCACTCTTCTCCAGTCCTCTCTGTGTCACCACCCTCACCCATCTTTGTAATTGATTAGGTAATCATTCTACATGTAGATGTGTAAATCCACTTAATCTGAATCAGTCATCATTATATAAGACAAGCAAGACAATAATGTTATTGCAGCATTTTATTCAGAATGAAAAATTAAGATTTAACAAGGTCATGTTAAAGACAAAAGATGGTAGAAAACTCTACTTAATTACTATATATTCTTTGGCCTTGCCTTTTAAATAAGGGTGTCAGATGTTCATTTGGATCCTCATGTTCTGTTTATATTTGTTTGTAAAGGTTTTTTCTACTTAGAAAGAAATTACTTTCAGAGACCACACAAAAGAACCACAGGTTCCTCTTAAATAAAATTCTACAGTATGCAGACACTTACTTTTAATACACTTTTGTAGAAACTTTGAGAATATGGAAATTTTAAAGCTTTTACTTGAAAGATCTTAAAGAGAGAAAACAAGGATTTGGAAGTACAAAAAGGCAGAAAAGCAGAAGGCATACTAAGAGCAGAGGTTTTTATAAGCCTTAGGAGGAAGAAAGAAAACTTGAGAACTGTACTTTTGTTCCTGTTAAGAGAAATGGATGGGAAGGTGGCTTCAAAAGAAACTGTTGGGATATTATTGTATGAAGCTAGGATGATCTCATCATGTATAAACTGGATTGAGTTTGAGAAACTCACTTACGTCACTTGGCTCAAATAAAAGTTAGCTATAGGCCCCCTTATGCCCCCAAGCATGTGAATTACCCTTCATCCATTGTATAGTCTAGAGAATATGTAATATGGTATATCCATACAAGGGAGTACTATTCAGCAATACAGAGGAATACATGCTAAGATAAGGACAATCCTGAAGAAGATGCTAAGTGAAAAAAGCAAGACATGAAACTACATATTATATGATTGTATTTATATAAAATGCCCAGAATAGGAACATTAGTAGAGACAGATATTAGGTTACTGGTTGACTGGAGCAGGAGGTGAAATAGGGATTAACAGTAAATGGATATGAGGGATGTTATTAGAGTGATGAAACTGATTTATGATGTGTTCTACAACTTGGTTAATTAACTAGAAATCATTGAATTATGCACTTGGAAAGGTCAATTATATCGTAGGTAAAATATGCCTCAATAAAGTTGCAAAAAGAACTAAAAGGCACCAAACATTTGGATGGAAAACTACATACAGAAAAAGATGTTTCTTAGAATGTATGTTTTCTGAAACAAAACAAAATTTTAGTTACCTGGATGAATCCCTGTTGCTGTGAATTGCTGTTGAGTCAATCCCAACTCATAGTGACCATTTGTGTGCAGAATAGAACTGCTCCATAGAGTTTTCAAGGCTGTGACTTTTGGAAGCAGACATCCAGGCCTTCTCTGGGTAGGTTTAAACTACCAGCCTTTCATATAGTAGTCAAGTGCTTAACCATTGGTGACACCCAGGAATACCTGATGAATCCTTAGGGGAGGAATATCCTAAACTTTTTATTGAGAAGGGAGAGTAAGTGAAAGTCAATTTTATACAACTCATCATCAATAATTATGTGTAATACATTAGTAATACACTTTTTATTTAGTATACTTTAAGTGATGGTAAAAACTGTTATACCAAAAAAGAAACCAAACCCACTGCCACGGAGTGGGATCCGACTCATAATGACCCCTCCTTGGGTTTCCGAGGCTTTATCATTGTGGAAGTAGACTGCCCAACCTTCTGGTGCGTTTGAACTGCCAGCCTTCTGGTTAGCAGTCAAATGCCTTAGGTAGGTACTATGCCACCAGAACTCCCTATAAGGGCTAAAAAAAGTTATTAAGAAATTTTGTTCCCCTTATTCTAGTTATTGTGAAAGGTTTTATTTGATCGTACATTCTCCTATCCATGGGGGATTTTAGGAACAAACTAGTTTGAGGTGGGGGACTAATACAGAAGGAAGTGAGTTCTTTCAGAAATTGAACCAGGTTATAGAGGGCTATTAAGGACAGGGAGGTGTGGCAAAAGATTTGCCATTTTAACTATTTTTACGTGTGTAATTTAGTGAGATTAATTATATTCAGCATATTGCACAACCATTACCACTATAAATTTCTAAAAATTCTTCAGTACCCCTTAAGTAATAACTCCTCATTTCCCTTTTCTTCAAGTCCCTGGTAGCTGCTAATAAATTCTGGTCTCTATATATTTGCCTGTTCTAAATATTTCATCTAAGTGGGTTCATACAGTATTTGTCCTTTTGTATCTGACTTATTTTACTCACCATAATGTTATTAAGGTTCATCCATGTTACGACATGTATCAGAGCTTCATTTCTCTTTATGGCTGAATAGCGCCCCATTGTATGGTTATATCACATTTTGTTTATATGTTCATCTGTTGATGGACACTTGTGCTGTTTCCACCTATTGACTATTGTGACTAATGCTTCCGTGAACATTGTATCTATTTGAGTCTTTGCTGTCAAGTCTTTTGGGTATACATACCTAGGAGTGGAATTCGGCAATTCTGCTATTTCTGTGTTTAACTTTACGGGGAACCGCCGAACTGTTTTCCACAGCAGCTGTACCATTTTACCTTCCCCCCAGCATTGCAGAAGGATTTTGATGTCTTCACATCCTCACCAACACTTTTTATTTTCCTGATAATAGTCATTATCAGAAGTGGTATCTTACTGTGATTTTGGTTTATATTCTCTGATGACTAATGATTCTGTGCTTAGTGACCATTTGTACATCTTTTTTGGAGAAATGTCCATTCAAGTCTTTTGCTCATTTTACAATTGGGTTGTCTTTTTGTTGTTGAATTGTATGAATTCTTTATACATATTCTGGTTAATAAACCCTTATCACATATATGGTTATCAAATACTTATTTTCTCCCATTCTGTATATTATTTCTTCACTTTATTATAGTCCTTTGATGCATAACTGTTTTTATTTTATTTTTATTTTCATTGATTTATCTGTTTTTTTCTTTTGTTGCTGGTGCTTTTGGTATCAAAGACCTTTGCTTTTTAATGCTTAACTAAAGTTACTGTGAGCTTCTAAATTTTATGATTCTCTGAATAGGTTAACATTTCTAAATATGTTTTAAATTTTGCTTCCTGCTATATGTTATAGTTAATTTTATCTTTTTCAAAAAATTATTTTGGTAAAAATATACATATAATAAAACATTTGTCAATTCAACATTTTTTACATGTAAAATTCTGTGACATTGGTTATGTTCATCATGTTGTAAAACCATCACCACTGTTTCCAGATTATTCTACCACCATTAACAGAAACTCACTGTCCCTTAAGCTGAGTAATCTTTTTTAATATAAGAAAAACAGTGCAGAATTATGCAGTGCGAAATGTGAAAGTCCTTCTTCACCTTACTTCTCATTCTCTTTGCCAGAGGTAACTAGTATCAGCAGTTGAGTGTAGTGCCTAAGGCACTTGACTGCTAACCAGAAGGCTGGCAGTTCAAACCCACCAGCCACTCCTTGGAAGGAAGGTTGGGCAATCTACTTCTGTAGTGATACTGCCTCAGAAACCCAAGGAGGGGTCTCTATGAGTTGGGTCTGACTCAGCGGCACATAACAACAACAACAACAACATACACTTTTGTCATTTTCAGTGTAAGCCATCGTAATGTTTATTCACTTATTCATCAGATACCTGTTGAGCCCCAGTATATACTAGGCACTGGGGATACAGTTCTGAAGAAGACAGCCAAAGTCCTTGCCCTCAAGGAAGTTCCATTCTAGTGTGAAGACAGACAATAAATAAGCAAAAAAATATTTAATTATAGTATAATATTATAATTAATAATAATAAAACAGGGTAAGGAGAGTTAGATGGAAGTAGAAAAAAAGTTGAGGAGACACAAAAAGACTTTTATTTATTTTTAAACTTTTTATTATGATTTGAGTGAAAGTTTACAGAGCAAATTGATACGGCAGCTTCGGGACATCAAGGATTCAGGATTGTTCCTTTTGTCTTTCTGTTTATACATCTTCAGATGTGC